AGGGAGTCTGGTAGGCAAATTGATCACAAAATTCACCTACTTCCTTTTGACCAGTTAATCTTTGTGCTTTTAACTGGGATTGTAACTTCAGATCATTACAGAGAGCTAGACCTTCCTGGATTACAATATTGACTAATCCACCATAGGTATAGTTTCTGTAAGGGATAGAGATACCATTATTAATATCTCTAAGCTTTTTCCTGATTCTTTCAGCAAAAAAGGTTGGTAAACCATCCACAAATTTTGCTTTCCAATGCTCATGATTTGCATCATTGAGTTGGAGAACCTTGGCCAAGAATACATCTTTATACCACCGAAAATGAGTTAAAGATGGACATCTTAAATTCTGTAGAAGTTCACGACTTCGTTCACTATTAGCGCCTTCCGGGCCAACAAAATGTTGGATAATAGTGGTGATGAGGGTGTAAACCGCATCAGGAGCAGGTCTTGGTTGTTGAGTAGCTTCATCTTTAACTATCTTGGTAGCAGAAAAGATTTCAGCTTTCTGAACGTCAGTGAGAACATTATCCCACCATCCTTTAAGGATTCCTGTAAAACCAGCAACGACAAATTTAGCAATGGTTGGGTCAGTGTTGTGGTTTAATTTACAGACTTGGCTATACATCAACATATGATGAATAACCTCATATATCTGATAATTAGATTTTCCATCTATGTTCCATTCATAAATGGTCTTACCATGAAAAGATTTCTGTGTATGAAAATAATCTTCTTCATATAAGTTATCTTGAGGTGTGGGTCTGGGATAATAATATCTACTCGGAGCAGGTGCTGTATTGGAGTGAATATTCTTATCATAGATAATTCTGTTCAACTCAGGCATCTGAGTAAACTCAGTTTGAAAAGCCTCAATATGAGGTAACACATCAGAATCAGAACCAATTTCAGATTCATCTGAGTAAAATACCAATTTCTGAATTCTTTATATTGATCCTGTTGAAATTCAGTATTAATGGCAATTCTATCTGGGACAAAATTCATTAAAACTAATATTCATGAGGGTCATTTATATCTGTAGGATCATCAAATTGATCCTTGACAGATTCATTTCCGATTCCCATTTCTGATGGGGTTGGGCTGAATTCAATTCCAAATTGGCGACGAGACATACCTATTGGTGCTTTCTCGTATACTCTTCTTGGAATTTGATTCTGAGATTGCTGTATTCCTTTCAGCTTGAGGTGATTTGAACCAACGATTTCAGGAGGGAGATCTTCCTTTCTGTAATCCGAAGAGATCGAATGGCGAGAAGGAGGACAAGAAACATGATAAGGAAGATGACTTTCTTTAGATGATGTAGATCTGGGTAGATCTAATGATTTTCTAAAATTCAGAAAAACATCACCATCCTGGTCCTGAATAACACAGTCCAAGCTATGGTTAGCAATTGGCTTTGCCGGAACTGCATTAGAAATTGTCCAATGTTCAGGAAATGTTATTTCACTCTAAGGAATCATCCTTTTTGTGGCAACATTTGATGTGAACATATTGGTGTCCCATAACACTGTTACTCCGTTAGAGTCTTTGCGTATGGCATTTGGACACAAAGTATCAAGTACTTTGTAATAGATGCGATAAATAACACTTATCACTTCTGATCCAGGTAAATAATCATACCCATGGGTCTGAACACGAAGACTAACTGCCTCATGTATGTTTTTATCTGTTAAAGATAAATTCAGACTAGGATAGACATTAAAATAAACCGGTCCATGACATAGACTGGTTTCCAATGCACCCATTAAAGAAGGGTGAAATTTCAGACATCGAGCATCCCGAAGGGTTGCTTGAATACAAGCATCCATACTGAGCAAGGTTAAAGGTTTAAAAGCAATTTGAATTAAACTTATATAGATGTATTTGTATTTGTATTTGTGCATGTGCCTCTAAAGGTCACGAGAAGACAGTAATTTAATTATTGTGTCTTTAGTGCTTAATTGCATAGTCTGTTCCATGGTCTTGACAGTCCATAGATCAGCTACATTAAACATTCCGATTTTGTAAATGCTCTTAGCACTTACTGGAGGGATAGTCCATTTATTCAATTTATTTTGAACATTGGTCCATTCCACTAATTCAGCATTTTTTATCAATTCTGAATCCTGGTTTTCCTGTACTCCTAAAGAGGAGGAAGATGGTTTTAACATGTTTGTTAAATATTGTTAATGCTTTGAGGTCTGCATAATATAAATATTATAATATTATATAATGAACAGTAAGTTACTATTCTGTCGTCATTCTGCTTAAGAGAGATTCTATTACTTGTCTGTCAACGATTTACTGGAAACAATACCCTGTGCAGCAATTTAATGCAAAAAGCGGGCTAAACATTCCAACGCGACTTTTGGACGACCCATAATTGAATCTGGGATAAACATAAGTCAGACAGAAAAGTAGTCATATTGTTCATTACATAAATACAATAATAATCATGCTACCAGCACCAATAAGCATTAACAATATAGAGTTAAGCCATATAACGGCTCTGATACCAAAGAGAGGTGTATGGTGGATCGATAATAATAATAACAATAACAGAATATAACAATATCAACAGATAACAGATTGCAGAACAGGACAGATACAAAACAGCCTTTTGTGTACCTTTTGCCCGAATTAATTAGGCAGTTATACTTGTCATGGCAACAATTTCATCCTCAATTAAGAGGACATGATAATATTCCTGTAGGGAAATCCACCCTATTGTTTTTTACTGAATTTGGAATTCCTTGGATTTGGAAATGGGATTTTCAATGTGGTTATACCACTGACAAGTTACCAGTCCTTCCGATGATTTTTTTATTACCAATGGTGGTCAGGCATGACTCAGGACCCTATTCAAGCCCTCCTCCATCTTATCAGAAAGAAAACACTGGAATACATGGATAATGTTCCAAAATTAACTATTCCAGAACCAGAAATCTTTAACCCATTTGAACTTGTTAAAGATATGATCAGAAAGCAACAACCATTAATTACCGAAGCAGATTTAATGGTTAAATGCATGGATTTTATGAGGAACAAATTTGTTAAATCTTTTGATTCCTCCACACCTACAGTACGAGATGATGCATCTATGGTGTCAGTCTCTAGCCAGACCAGTCAAGAAGGTAATCAGTTTTCCTGTCTAGCTGGTTATGCACAAGATCCCAATGAAGATCTCATTTCTGAAGAAGAACCCACAGTAGCCGATTATTGGGACTCCCTCACCGGCCACTTGATGGAAAAGATGAATCCACCCAAAAAGTAAAGATTCCTCTTATCTTGCCGACAGAAGAAGACAAAGCACTTTTCCCAAAGTCTTTGATTCTACAGTATTTTTAATCAGATGTTTACTTTCCATCAGATAAGGAGACAGCACTTAGTGGTGGGCCAACCGACTGCATTATTCAAGCACACATCCCATGCACTATGCGGACTTCAAAATGTTAATTTCAAGTCCATTTTATGTATAAATAGAGGGCAAAGTTTCCCTTCATTGTATCTTTCGATTTTCTTTTCAATGTATCTTTCGATTTTCTTTTCTTTCTCCTGTAATATTTCTCTTTGTACTATTTTGGAAGTTCAATAAGAAGAAGGTTTTCTGTAAGTCCATCGTTATATTCTGTTATATGTTGTTATTGTTATATTCTGTTATTGTTATTATTATTATCGATCCACCATACACCTCTCTTTGTATTTAAGTTAGATTATAAAATATAAATCTCGAAACGGGAATTTTTTTTTGATTTTTCCAATAAACCAACACATAGCGATGTATATATATAACAATATAACATATATATATATATATATATATATATAAACAAACACAATTCCTTAAATAAATATCAAATTGGACTTTCTGTTAAAAGATGAATTTGAATAGAAATCAAACATAGAAGATTGCAAAGAAATATGATTTGGAAGATGCCTAGGAAATTAGGGTTTTCATAGATGCAGATGAGTATTAGAGTTTTCATAGATGTAGGAAAAGAAGAGATGATTGTGTTCGAATATGTAAAATTTTCTTTGAGAATATTCAGTTTGAATTTGATTGAGATTCTTTGGTGGCTGGGCACTTGACGGTGCATACCTTTTCTGGAAAACAACTTACGGACTGAAATCATAAATTATTTTTGTAAAAATGAGGGAAAACGTTTTACACAAAAAAAATATTTTACTCAGTTTTTATGTTGCCAAACATGAAATTGTTTTATGTCGAAAGTTCGAAACAATTCTGGAAAACAACTTACGCACTGAAATCATAAATTATTTTTGTAAAAATGAGGGAAAACGTTTTACAGAAAAAAATATTTTACTCAGTTTTTATGTTGCCAAACATGAAATTGTTTTATGTCGCAAGTTCGAAACAATTCACACCATTAATTCGGCGCCAACTCTATTCAGATCAACAGCATATAAGAATTAATAATTTTTCAAAAATTGCACATCAAATTTCCATGCTTTTGTCCCCCTCTCTTGTAAATTTATTTGTTACGGAAAAGAAAAACTTAAACAACTAATTAATGCAAATAAATTGAAACCATGAAATTGACATGGTATATATGATATCAGTGCCCACCATAAAATTAAGGCCGTATCATATACGCTTGACATGGGTTTATGATATCACCTTAATAAAACATGGTCACTTATTAGTCGAATTGTTTAACCAATCTCGGCTTCTATATCATTGCTCATTACATCATTATAACAAGCTGATAATCATTGGACTGCCACACACACATATATGATGAACAAACTAATCGACGACTTTTTCTTGATTTTTATGGTCGGGTTCTGGTTAGTGTTTAATTAATTACGAATTTCGCAATGGTTAATGAAAGACACAGTTTAAACAAGTTGTGAAAATTTTCTTTCAAACACAATATACAATTAGAAAAAGAGATCATCTAACTACACATAATACATATAGATATATATAACATCTTTATTATCTAGTTCTTATGTCACAACGATGGATTTGAGAGAGAATGAAATGAAAACAAAAGAACATCTTTTGTCTTTGTGTGAAATTATTTTTGAACATGAAACTGCACCAACTATATGGAAGTTTTTAAGTCTTGATGCCTACATTCCAACCTCAACCCCTTCAGCCTTTTGATTCTTGATCATGTAGGGGGTTGAAACTAAAAACCAGTAACAACCAATCCCAACAATTAATTAATTACACATCCACTTCATAACTGTCACTCTCTTTTATCTCTTCAATCTTCTCGACAGCCACTTTCAATTCCCACCTTTTCTCTACATCCTCTTCACAGCAAGCCACTGCAATCTTGAAAAGCTTCTTCAACTGTCCTTCAGCATTCGTCGTGTTCCCCATCTCCTTATCGAAAGCTGCTTTCCTTGTGATCTTATTAACCCAGCCTTGCAGCTCTGCACCGTCACCCTCTGCAACGTAGTTTGCAGGGAACTTGCCTGTTAAGATCTCCAATATCAGTACTCCGAGACTCCACACGTCTGTCTTCCTTGTTGTGCGTCCGTGTTTGACATGCTCCGGTGATTTAAAAGCAACCATGATCTTCTGAGCTTGTTCTAGGTTGACTACCGGGACTAGAGTGTAATCCATCAAGAGGGGCTCGAAGGATTCATCTAGCAGAACATTGGAAGATTTCAGGTGACCGTGGGGTACGAGTAGGTTAGGGAGCTCACTGTGGATGTAAGCCATGCCCTTGGCTACTCCTTTCACAATCTTTAAACGGGTAGGCCAATCAAGTCCTGGTTGGTTCACAGAATGGTTGCCTAAACAAACAAAAGTGATATCAATGCACGTTGTTTTCTATAGTTCCACAAATGGGATTATGAGCAAAGACATGAATGTGAAGTTCCTGAAAATGTTCAGCTCATATCCAAAAAAAATCAGATGTTAAAAGACTTTCAAATGGTAGGTGTGTGGCTTCATGTAACTAAAGTTTCTCCTAAACACTAAGGTCCGTTTGATTCAGTTTTCTAAAAACAGTTCTCAACAATTCAGAAAAGAGAAAACAGTTTTTAGAGAACTATAAAGACAGTTCTCTCTCTATAGTTCTATGAAAACAACAGTTATTTTAACTAAGTTTTCAAAAACTATTAACCAAGCAAATTTTTGTGCAGTTTTCTGATTTTTCAATTCTCAGAAAACAGAAAACTAAACCAAGCAGGCCCTAAAATGTCTTTTGGACGGTTTGGTAGTTGCATAGTGCAATATTGTCCAACAAGAGTATAGGATGAAAATAAGTATGCAATAGATGATTGGTTAAGCTACCTAGGTGGTATCTGATTGATTTTTGTTGCCTTGTTGAGAAAAAAAAGTGCATATATGAGAAGTTACATACCATGAAGGTGGCCAACCAAGCTGCGATTTTCGATATAATCAAACACCAATAGTTTCTCTTCTCTTCTGAAATAGTAAGCGACAAGAGGCAGCAAGTTGGGGTGTTGCAACCTTCCTAGTCTTCTCATGTGGTCATGGAACTCATCTTTTCCTATGTTATTCATTTGCTTAAACCTCTTGACAACCACAGCTTGACCATCCATGAGTACAGCCTTGTATGAAGAACCAAAGTTTCCGCTCCCCAACACTTCTGCTGAGGCTCTCAATAAGTCCTGCAGGTCAAACTTCAGCCTGTCATCCCTAACAAATGACAACTTTGCCACTTCGCCCTTCTTCATTTCCCCACTTATCTCAGGGGATGACTCCGGTTCCACATGGTATTTTGCTGCAGCTGGGACTGGGATTGCTGCCACGCTCTTCGCTGTCACACTCTTCATTGGCATGCTCTTCTGGTTGTTCATTGACACAGCCTGGTGTAATTGTGGTTCCTTGTATGATTGTGGTTCCTTGGACTTTCGGAAGCATACCAACACAACTAAAATGATTGCTGCTAATACTATCAGAGCGGCAACTACAATAGAGACTATTGTCAGAGGAGATTTATTGTGATCCGGTGAGGCAATTGGAGCATTCGGACCATTGGGACTATTAGCTGCATTGGGAGCTTGATTAGGAGTACCATTTGGAGTGTTGGCAGCATCTGCGGATTTGCATACTGTGTCCAGTGGCTTCCCACACACACCTTTATTGCCTGCATTGTTATAAAACCCCAAAAGGAAAAAGAACATTAAGATGGCATTGGCAAAAGAAGGCTTAACTCACTGTAAAGGGGACAACCAAAAAAAAAAAAAAAAGTGTTTGATTAATTACCTAGAAATGAGCTTGGAGTCATGTTGCTTAGACTGTCAGGGATTGGACCCTCTAATTGATTGTTTGCTAAATTTATCATTTTCAAATCCTTCTGCTGAAAACTAGGTACGCGGCCTGAAAATTGGTTGTCCTCGAGCCTTGCCTCTATAAGCTTGGGCAAGGTAACAATTGATTTGGGAATATTACCCTTCAACATGTTATTGGAAATATAGAGTTTCTTCAAGGAATTCATACCATCAAATGCATCATCCGAAAGGGGACCTGAGAATTGGTTATTCGACAGATACAAGTTCCATAGCGCGGTGAGTTTTTTGAAATCAGGCATTGAACCTTCAAACTTGTTGTTCTGAAAGCTGAGAATCCTCAAGCCAGGCAAAGAAGCAAGAGCATCAACATCTATGTCACCGGTTAAGCCCATGTTATCAAGCTGCAAACCCAACACATTACCTTTAGAGCAGCGCACACCTATCCATTGTCCATAATCTCCATTACACGGACTTGTTGCAGGATTCCAACTGCCTAGAGCCGAATTAGCATTCGTTATTGAGGCCTTGAACTTTATGAGGGCATCGGATTCTGGCGCACCAAATGTCACAACTAGAAATGATGAGAAGACTAGGAGGGGGAGGAGCAATGTTGTAGTCTGTGTGCGCACATGTTGGGCTGCACGCACGCCCATCAGCATCGTATTCACGTCCCACAGTGAGTGCTTCCCAGGAAAATGTAGGAAGTTTCTGGCAAAATGGATATTATTGGCATGAGGTCTGTCTTTCTCTATCTTTTTTTTTCTCTTTCTTTCTTTCTTCTTTCTTTGTGTTTTTCCTTAACTTTGGATGAAAGAGAGAAAGAGAGAGAGAGAGAGAGAGAGAGAGAGAGAGGAATGAGGATGGGATGGATTTTGAGAGTTAAAGCCAAGAATAGAAGTTAGCAGCAAAGCCGAGCTGTGGGAAGGAGAAATGCAAGGCTGGCCTTCAATTTTGGAGCTGTTTTAAGAAATCCATGTCATTTGTTATATATATTGTTTATTAACCGTTAAATTTACTATGATTTATGCTGTTATCTAATATTCCATATTATATGTATCTGATAAATCTCTAAATAATGTACAATTAAAATTATATTGCAAGTAATACCGATAAATCTACAAATGCTCTTCTGGGTGATACTATACAAATGACACCTTTCCTCGTACTTCAACCTTGGATCAATATTCATCTCTCTCTAATGCTTCTCCAAATTCTGCAGATTGACTTCCTCTGTAATTTTTTGTTTCTTAATTTTCCTTAATTTGTCAATTGATTAGAACTACTTCATTCAGAGTGGTATCTGAAAGTGATTCCCATATTTCAGTTTTTGGCAATCCAATATTTCATTTCTCAAAAGACATGACTGTTGTTAACATGATCTTAGGTGTGGCTTAGAGAGAGAGAGACGGTACTAGTAGTTCAAATGATATAAAACTTATTTCAACTTTATTACATGGGAAATGCCTCATTACTTAAAGGCATTTGAGCCTTTTCCCACATATAATATATTTACATGAACAAACTGGTATTGACCCTATCCCTGTGAAAGAAACAACAGAGATGGGATACATTAATAACACACTACTACTACTACAACAATTAATTATACATAATATTTCTTTATTTCATGAATTCAATCAATTAGGCATCAATTATGTAGCTACAACTCTTTGATGGCAATGGAACCCGCTTTCGGTATTCTGCCAAAGCCCACAAAGGGTATATATTCCTGTAAGCTGCATAGTGTAACATGCAATTTTTATTGAAAACTCCAGTAATTTCCTGCATGTAAAAGTGAGATGGATCATATATTAGACAACTCCCCAATAAAAAAAAAGTTCAATCAATATTACATTATGGATTAGAGTGTATTGCCAACGTCAAACCATTTCTCTCTTTATATAGGTTGATTTTGCATCTTAACAAATTAGTTGTTTGATTTAGTCATATGAATTACCTGTTGGGGAAAATCACCATTTTCCATTTGAGAATTGATCAACAGCTTTGCACAACGGTGTAGAGGAGTTGGATCTCTCTCCGCCTATTGAAGGAGGAAAAGTTGAGAATCACACACACAAACACGTACATATATAAAGTATACACAAATTTAAGCGTGTTAATGCTGCATTCATGAACAAACCTGCCCAGAATGAATTAGACCCATCATGGCCCAAGAAGTATGCACCAGATTTGACCTGTTTCCTTCCAAAGGTGTATGCTCCTGTTTCACAAAACACAACAATTATAAAACACTACAAAAACATAAATTAAAGTGAACATTAAGAGTTAATTTTTAGGTGTCATTTAATTGTTTGAAACAATGGATGCTTAAGCATTACCTTGTTTGGGCAGGAAAGATAGCTCTCTCCCCAACCACCATCATCGCACTGTGTTTTTAGCAGAAATTGAACACCTTTACGAACAGTTGGACAATTGTTGTAAGTCCTGCCAGCAGCAGCCAGCCCTCCTAAGGCAAACCAGGTGCCATATGTGAAACACACTCCCCAATTTCCATACCTGCAGGTTATTTCTTCATATTATTTATTCCCAATACTTAAAACACTCCATAAAAAATTTAGCACTTGAATGGAGCTAGTGGAGTGACATACCATGAGCCATCTGGCATCTGTACATCTTCTAGGTACCTAACAGCATTCGTGATAAAATTCTCTATCTCTTTCTTCCTGTGTCCAGGATATAACTTCTTAAACAAAACGAGAGCCTGGATTGCCGATGAAGTGCACTCCACATACCTGGATCACAATTCTATTAGTTAATTTCAAGAAGTTTTCACTGTGTAGAATTTGCAGAAAAATGAGCTTGTGTGGTTCCTACTCATGCTCGATGACAATGTCTGCGAAGAATTCTGTTGGATTGAGCAGCTGCGGAGAAACGAAAAAACAGAATTCAGTTTATACACAACATAATGTGATTGTCAAATTAGTTGACAAAAACAAAGGGCATGTCATTTCAGTATGCTTAAGAAGTTACCTCCAACCACTCTTGGGCACCTGCTGGTTCCCATGCTGGTAAACCACCATTTTTGCTCTGATTCATATGAAACATAACTTATTGATATTACAAATATATCTTAAGTCAACAAATTAACATGGTTTGTTCAACAACTTTAAGAGCATAGAAATGTAGGTGTTCATAAATTTTCTAGTTCAGCATAATTGTGTCGACAACATATTGAAGTGTGCAATTTCATCCTTTACCTGTAAAGACATCAATATATTGACAGCATCGTACAACCGCTCAGGCTCCATTTTCTCACCAACAATTTCTGGAGGCATCATTGAGAAAAGGAGACAACACTAGACAAGATAAAAGAATAAATTGGAGACCATCCCATGGTTGTCGAAGTGTGATCCTCCACTTGATTGAGGTATCTCAGCAAAATTAGCCATTTGATTAAGGTATATCTTAGCAAAATAAACTACCTTCAATCCTTCAGCAGTGCAATCAGAAACTTGCCATCCATGATCTTGATCGGAAAACGTCCATGATCCTTTAGAAATGTGGCGGTACATGCTTTTAAAGTCACCAGAAGGATTTTCCGTAACCTGCAAATTTTCAAAAATGTTCTGTCATAATTAAGCCAAAAAAAATTTGTATATAGAAAGAGTAAATTCAGCAGCTAAAGTGAGAAATGACTTTAAGAAGTTGAATTAAAACCTGAGACTTTTTGATAAAGTCATGTCCTTTCATAAGAGTAGGTCCAATTTCATCAGTGAGATTACTAGCCAATAGTGCTTGAATGGCAAAACCTGTATCCCATTCCTGACTGCCAAAACTCTGCAAAGACAATGGTGATTATGGAAATTTGCAAATTGAATTATTTTTAAATCCTGACTTAGGATGAGTTTCATTAACACTAAACATATTACGGAACACTTCATTACTTATTCATTATATTGTGAAAAATGAATGGTTGTGAAGAAAAAGAAACACTTCATTTTTCTTCATGTTCTAGAGAATATATATAGTCAACTGTTGGGCATTTAATCTGACCTGCATCTTCATTCCATCTTCAGCAACCCATAAATAATCTGGGATCCTAGCAAGGTGTTTCTTGAAATAGTCTCCATTTGGATCTTCAACCCAGCAAGCAAGCATACATAATACCTGCTCAAATCAAGTGCGCGATATATTAGTAATTCAAAAAACTTGGTCATACATAGCATGAGATAATTATATCTCCTACATTCATACAATTCATACCTTTTCCACGCATCCAATAGTAATGTAACGACTGTTTTCATCTTCATAATGTATGTGCTTCATTGTAGTTTCAAGAGCCTTCGCCCTCAACTTGTTAAAGGGCCAACGAGTCAAAAGAGGCTCGGTGCATATGTAAAGACTGTCCCAGAGCAAATCTTGCATCAGGGGATGGGGATAGTAAAGGTCCTCCTGCAACAAGTACACATAAACATTTTATATATATGTGCAGACACATTTCAAGCCACTGTAAATTGATAAAATCTTAGAAGCAATTATATAGTAAGTTTACCATTGCACAATAATGGCGCACTCTCCTCCAATTGATTTGATCATATGGTTCGGCATAAAGTTCTTCTCTTAGTTGTAGAATGAGAGGAGTGATTGGGCCAACAAACCTTTTCCCATATAAATATGACATAGGCATGTAAACCATCCGACAGTAGCACCACATTTTCGCTGCACTTACACGAAGAAAACTTTGAAATATGAACTCAACATATGTTACAAATTGAGTTTAAACATCTCATATGACCAATTCCTCTCTCTTATTTGTAAAACCTAAGGATATATTAGGTATTAGTTCACAGAGGTTAAGGTGTGTACTCAAACATTACATCATGAACTTTGCTAACCTGGATGCATAGGAAGGAAAGTAGGAATGAGCCAAAACTCTGGGGGCATTGGGTTGCTTCCTGACCATTCGCAAACACCAAGTATCTACAACAAATAGAGATCACCTCAGCATATGGAAGTTATTTGAAACTGATCATTGAATTATGATTTATTTGCTTTAATTTATTTTGTTTTATAGGTAATAGAATTTAAGGGTGAATCCCATTCCCAAAAAAATTGTCATACCGAAAGCCATGTCTTTCCCCAGGAGGGTATGGCTGCCACACTACCATGGTCAAGGATCCATTTTCGCGCTCTGGCACAGGTATTGTTTTCACCACCATGAGGTCCTTCTCCAAGTATACGCATACAAATGTAGCTGAGCGCGGTACCGAACATAGTGCTGTGGCCCTCAATGTGAAATCCCCACCAACCATCTTCGTTCTGTCATGTACCAAAATGAATTACCTAGTTAGGTATGATGACACATGCATGCTCTTGTGTGTAATTGTTGAAAATACTACCAAATATTATTAGCTGTAAATATAATATTACTGTAAATAGAATATTGGTCAAATACTGTAAATTAGGAAATTATTAATTAGGCCAGCTAGTTATGTGCGTGTATTCCCTCTAATAAAGAGAACCCGTGTAAACTTGTGAATAGTGTGTTAATACAGAGAAAACGTTTTTTTTTTCCATATTTATTTCATTTCAAGTTTATATGGTATCAGAGCCACCCTAAGAAAAAAAAAAAAACCTTAATTTTCTTTTCTACACAATTTCTTTGTTGATTAGCCATATCTGACATTTCCTCCATGTCAACCTCGCCTTTCACAACCCAGTCAACCAATCCGACAACCCAAGCCCCCAGTACCGATTCTCACTCGGTTCAGATCACCAATATTCGCCTTAATGGTGACAATTATTTACGGTGGTCCCAGTCCGTTCGTATGTACA